TCTTTCCCCAACGGGAGGCTGCGTCCTGCTCAGAGACGCTCCCAGTCCCAGGACCCGGGGTGGGAAGGGGGAGACCTCGGCACCCCCTTCTTCCAGGGGCGGCGCACATCCCGGGGTCCTGCCTGAGGAGCCTCTTACAGCACCCGCGTGCGGACGCTGCCAGGGAGAGCGACCCGGGGCTGAGCAGGGTTTTCCCCTGTTCCTCTCTCCCTTGCAGCCTCCAGCGTTTAAGGTCTAGGAAGTCCTGATTTGGAGGCCGTGCCCCTCGCTCCCTGCCCAACAGCTCCTGATGCCCCTTTCCTCCAGGCACGTGTCCAGGCCCTTTGCGAAGCTGGCTAACCTCTCGGCTCCCCCCACATCTGGTGGCAGCGAGCCCCACACTTTTAATGATGCTCGATGTGAAGAAAAAATCCTTTTCTTAGTCTTAAGCTGGCTCTGTGCTACTTCCATGCTGTGACCCCTCATCCTTGTCTTGTGAGACAGTCAGGAATACCTCCCGGTTGACCGTCTGCTGCTCTCCTTCCAGCTGGGACCATTTAAATGGTGTTTTCCTTGAATCCCCCCCAGGACCTGGCCTCCCAGCCTGTGCAGCCGCTGAAGTTTTCCATCAAGGAGACGGAGTGCCTGGTGTCGGAGAAACGCGACATCAGCCAGTGTCCGTTCAAGGACAAGGGGGTAAGAGTCTGCGGCTGCACGGGGACGTCGGCACTGGCTCGTGCATCCCGTACAGCACACGGCCACGCAGGGAGGTGACCGGGAGGGTCTACGGGTCTAGGCTTTGTACCAAGGACTATGGAGAGAAGGGCCCCGCACTGAGGAGCAGACCCGGTAGGAGACGTGTGTGTGTGCGAGCAAGAGGGAATATGCACGCTCAGTGTCTCCGGTCCCAGTGCAACCGGGTGCATTGCTCCAGCCAGAGCCCTGCCCGCGGGCACAGAGTATACGTGGCACCAGGGGCAGGGGGACGTGGCGCCTTGCTGTCCGTGGCTGAGGCCCCACAGATCAGGGCACCAGGGGTGCAGCCAGGCAGGAAGGGTGCGGGGCCGTCCCCGGGGGGCTTAGGGACGCCGGCTGGGGGAGAGAGACAGCGGGGGCTCTCCCCACCCCATTACACAGTGCGGGGAGACTGCAGCACCACGGGACACAACAGCAGGTCAGGGCAGATGTCGGGCCCCAGAGCTCCTGTACCCGACCAGTCCTGGACATAACACGCCACGATGGCGGCTCTCTGGGTACGATCGACACCGCGAGCCTCCTGCTTTCAACGCAGCCTGGACCTTGCCCCACTCCGTCCCTATGTCGAGACTTGCACACGCAGCCCTCTCCGCACACCAGCCCTGCCTGTGCTGTGCGCATGGAGCGCGCCGTGCCCTGCGGTACCCACCGACGGGGCGGCAGCGACGTGCCCATTGGGTGCCAGCGCCCGGTACAGGTGGCACACGCTGGCCCTGAGGTGTGGGAGCCCGCTCGGGAGGCAGGGCCCGTGTCCCGCTGGGGCTGTGACGTGCGCCCGGTGGGAGGCAGGTGTGTGGGGGAGACGCCAGGTGCAGGGGTCCCGGACGCTGACAGCGGAGGTGTTTCATCTCCCCTCTGCAGCTGGTCAAAGACTGCGCCGGGATCTACTCTGCGGAGAAGAAGCCCCCCATCGTCACGGCCAACTGCGAGGACGCGGGTCAGGGGGTGAGTAGGGCTCGGCTGGGCAGGGTTGTGCGGTTCCCCCGGGGAGATCCTGGCCTGCCGTTCACGGTGCTGGATGGACCCCAGGACTAGGGTGCAAACCCCGTGCAATGCTCCCCCTCTGCCCGCCTGTCTGCTGAGCCTGCAGGTGCGCGGGGCAGGACCGCCTCCAGCAAGCCCCTTGCACGGGCATCCAGGGGAACAAGGACAGGGCAGGGAGGGAGAAGGCACTTCCCTGGGTGGGACATCCTGCAGTGAGGGGCTGCACGGGCTTGCTTACCCTTTGGCTTCTCCCCGTCTCCAGCCTCAGCTCGTCAAAAGGGTGAACTGGAGGAAAGTAGGACGAAATACAGCTCTGGGGGCCTCCTACGTCTTGAGCTTTCTGGGCTAGGCAGGAACAGCAGGTGGCAAGCGGCTGCCCCGCGAGACCCAGCCTCGCCGCCCGCTGTCCCGCGCTTGGAGCTGCTGAGCTCCTGCCTCTCCTCGCGCCTTCACTGCTGCTCCCTGGGCCCACGCAGGGTCCTCCTCGCAATAAATGGTGGCTCTGCAAACCCACGAGTGCCGTTCTCTTCTTCCGTGGGACGGGGGCACGTTAGGGGCACAGACAGCTCGGCTTGGCTGTCTGCTGGCGAAAGACCCTGCCTGGGAGTCAGGCTCTGAGCTCCAGCTCGTGAGACCCCCCTAGCAGGGCTGGGCGGCCGCGGTCCCCCTGCATTCCCTGCGGCAGGTGTGGGTGCGACGTCCTGTTGGGCTGAGGGGCGTTTGACTCAGAGGCTGGATGCTGGATGTGTCTGGGAGGGTCTGGACAGCGGTGACGCTGCCTCGGGCATGGGTTGGACTAGATGTGACCTCCGCACGTCCCGTCCAGCCCCACTTTGCTGGACTCTGCGACACTCTTGGGAGCCCTGAATCCACCCTGCGGCATCCAAATCCCTCGTCCTTGGAAACAACACCTGCCCTGGGGTGCAGGACTCTTCTCCGCGGGGAGGGAGGGGAGAATTGCCCTCGTATACCGGTGGAGGCAGGTTCCCAAAGCTGTCCTGAAGGGACGAGTGTCCCCGGTGTGCCCGGCTGTCGAGGAGGCCGAGGCACTTCCATGGGCGAGTGGCCGTGGCCCCCCTGGAGTCACACACAGCTCCCCTCCATGCAAGGCCCTCCGAGACCCCAATTCCCTCCTCCCGGGAGCCCCTGGGACACAGCGGCACTGGGCTCCCTCTCTGCCTGGGCACGGGGGAATCGCAGACACCAGGGCTGTGCTCAGCCCTGAGCAATCCTGGCTCCTGGCAAGGGCTGTCTGCACCCACAGCTCCTGGGGTTGGGAGCCTGGACGTGGGCATCCCTCAGAGATCCCATGCGGTGCAGGCGGAGGCAGCGAAATGCTGGGGGAGTCCACTCTCCGGCCAGGGCCCAGCACACACTGCGTCCACCCTCTCGTTCGGTCCTTGGCCCATTGCACAAGTCCCATGGGCACTTGCTGGAGTTGGTGGCTGTCCCTTCGTGGGCACTGATCCGCACCCTCAGGGCTCACATGTGCCACTTGCACATCTGGCACTGACACTTGGAGGTGCACAAAGGAGAACTCCTAATGCACTTTCATCTAATGCACATCTTTGGCCTTAACCGAGGCTTTGGGCTGGCGAGAGGCCTGCCCCCGAGGAATCGGGCTGGTCCCAGAGCTCTGCTTTTAGGAGATGCTCCGATCCTGATGCAGAAACGGCCCCTGATGCTAAGTGGGGGCTCGTGGCACTAGCTGATTAAGCTCAGCACTGCAGACGTGCTTTGTGTCTAGTCTGGACTTGCCTGGCTTCTGCTTCCAGCCCCTGCATCCTTCACACCTTTGTCTGCTGCCACAGGAAAGCCCCATCTCCTCCCAGGGATGCATCTCCCATGAGCACCCAGTGCTTTGAGCCTGTCAAGCATTAGCAGCCAGGTTCCTACGGCGCAGACGGCGGCTGGGCCAAAAAAGATGTGTCCGAGAAACCCTTTATGCTCACATCTGCCCTGTCCCACCGTGGCTGCAATAACCATTCACCCCGACTGGCTCTAGATCCTCTGCAGTTCCCGTTGCAACGGGCGGTGTTTCTACACCCGTTCCCAGGGATCCCTTTTATTTGCCTGTTTTCAAGTTGTCCTCAGGCCTGAGGGGACTCACGGCTGTTTTCAGCTCCATGAGACCAGCACCAAGGGTATCTAGCCCTGCCTGGCAGCTCAGGCTCATAAGTGGGAGGAAGGCTGTCGAGGCACGGTGCCTGGCCCTGCGGCTACCGGTCCTCTCTAGCTCGACTCTTACCCAGTGTCGTGGGAGGGGACGAGTAAAGGGAAAGTGTGGGCTTGATTCAAATCTCAGGTGAATAAGCAGGTGTGTTTTTGACAGCAAGGTGTCTCCGGCGTTGGGGCAGCATCTCCGGGGATGGGGCGAGAGCCCCATTGCCGAGAGCACCTGGGGCACGGGGCAGTAGAAAACAGCCCCGACAGGACAATCGTGCCTGCATTGCCCTGCCCTGTCCAAGCCCTGAGACCTCCCCTGAGCACGTCCTGGCACCACCTGCACCCGGGTCTGGTGTCTCCACACTGTGTCCAGAGCACGTGTCCCCGGGGGCTGTGGATGCAGCGCTGGCAGGGACAGTCCTCCTTATCCGGCCGTCAGGGGCAGCTCCCCATGCAGAGGAACAGGCCGAGCAGCAACCGTTCAGCGCAGGGGACCGGGCTCGACGCCAACCTGTCGTTTCCATCCCATGGGGCCCCGAGCCCCCGACCAGGGGCTGTTTTGCAACTGGGACCAAGAGTTTCAGCAACTCCTCTCCGAAACGATTGTCCCCAACCGCCCGGCTCTGGGACAGCTGCCACAGCAGGAAGCACAGGAGCCAACGGCTGGGGGAGGACCACCGCCTGCGCCCCCGGGCACTGCCTGGGGATAAAAGAGGCTGCCCAGGCGCAGCGCAGCACCTGGCAGCCGAAGAGCACCCGCAGCATGCAGCCATGCCGGAGAGCGCTGCTGGTGCTGGGGGCGGCCGTGGCCG